TTCTCCTTAGTTTTTAAAGGAATCTCTTCCATGGATGGTGGCTGTACCAAGTGGCAGTACCAATTTACATTCCCACCAACAGTGCAAGAGGGTTCTCTCTTCTCCACACCCTCTCCAGCATTTACTGTTTGTAGACTTTTTGATGGTCATTCTGACCAGTTTGTGGTGATACCTCATTGTAGTTTTGATTTTCATTTCTCTAATAATGAGCGATGTTGAGCATCTTTTCATGTGCTTGTTAGCCATCTGTATGTCTTCTTTGGAGAAATGTCTGTTTAGGTCTTTCCCCCCCTTTCTGATTGGATTGTTTGTTTTTCTGGTATTGAGATGTATGAGCTGTTTGTATATTTTGGAAATTGATCCTTTGTCACTTGTTTCATTTGCTATTATTTTTTCCCATTCTGAGGGTTGTCGTTTCACCTTGTTTATAGTTTCCTTTGCTGTGCAGAAGCTTTTATGTTTAATTAGGTCCCACTTGTTTACTTTTATTTCCATTACTCTAGGAGATGGGTCATAAAGGATCTTGCTTTATGTCATCGAGTGTTCTACCTATGTTTTCCTCTAAGAGTTTTATAGTTTCTGGTCTTACACTTAGAGACCTAAAATATTTTTGTGTTAACTGACCTTTTGGGTCTTTCATGTATTATTTTTTTCCCCTTAATTCATCCTTTCTATAATCTGGACACTTCCTTTGTCAGTTACTGGTAGATACATTGCAAGTTCACTGCAAGTTTGTGGGTTGCCTTTTCATATTTAGTGTCTTTTGCACTATCCAAGTTTCTAAGTTTAATACAAACAGATGCATTTTTCTTTTTATGGATCACTTTGTGTCATATTCAACTACTTCTTTGCACTAGGTCATGATATATTTCTATGTCCTTTTCTTTTCTGTCTTTCTGAAATATTTTTAAAATATCCTCAATCTACCAAATTTTTTTTGTATATGGTGTGATGTGAAAAAGGTACATAATTTTTTCCCACATGGACATGCAATTGTCCTAATGCCATTTATCAAAAACTTCTTTAAAACTAGTGAGTCTGCATGCGTAGTGCTCTGTAACAAGAGAAGCCACTGCAGCGAGCCTACTCCCCTTAATTAGAAAGTAGCCCCCACTCAGAGGAACTAGAGAAAGCTCGTGTGCAGTAGGGAAGACCCAGCAAATAAAGCCAAAAGAACTTTACTTCCCCACTTTGTCATAGCAAGTTCTCATATATCTGGACCTTTATTCTATACAATAGATCTATACATCCCAAACTTGCACTACTAGGGCTGTTTAATCACCATAACTTTTTAAGTCCTGTTGTCTTGCCTAAGATATAGGTGCCCCTCCCCTCTTATGATTCTCTTAAAAAAACTGTCTTGGCTCTCTGTCTTTCCATATTAAGTTAGGTAGGTTTATTGTAGTCCATGAAAAATTTTGTTGAGAATTTGTTTGGAACTTCAGTGAATTTCAAGATGACTTTGGCACGAACTGACACTTTAATATGTTAGCTTTTCCCATCCTGAAACATGGAATATTGCTTCATTTATTTTGGTTCTGCTTTTATATAATTCTTGCACATTTTTTACTAGGTGTTTTATTAGGTGTCTTATAGTTTTTATTGTGAATGAAACTTTTAAATATTACTTTTAAATAGAGCACTACTGTTTCTTGTATATTGCATATTCTAGCCCCAAACCCTCAACTTTCGTATTAGTTACAGTACTTTGCAATTTCCCTAGGACTTTCAAATAAACAATTATATTGCTCATTAATAATTGTTTCTTACTTTACAATCCTTATATCTATTTCTTCTTCTAATCTTACTGTGCTGGCCAGGCTCTCAGCGCAATGTGGAACAAGATGCACAATAGTCATCCCTGTCCTACTGCTGAGGTATCTAGTTACTAGTTACACCATTAACTCATCATGTTATTGTGGCACATGGGATCAAGTTCCCCGATCAGGGATCGGACCCAGGCCCCTGCTTTAGTAGTGCCGCAGTCTTTACCACTGGACCACCAAGGAAGTCCCAAACCATGTTTTCTTTGTTTTTTAATGTGTGTGTGTATATTAACTAACTTGTATCCAACTCTTTGCGACTCTATGGACTGTACTTGGAATGGGTTGCCATTTCCCTCTCCAGCGGATTTTCCTGACCCAGGGACTGAACCCTTGTCTCCTTCATCTCATGCATCGCAGGCAGATTGCCCACTGAGCCAGTTACCATTTACCATGTTAAGGAAGTGAAGGGAAAGTTGCTCAGCTGTGTCCAACTCTTCATCACCCCATACACTATACAGTCCATGGAATTCTCCAGGCCAGAATACTGGAGTGGGTAACCTTTCCCTTCTCCAGGGGATCTTCCCAACTCAGAGATCGAACCCAGGTCTCCCAAATTGCCAGCGGATTCTTTACCAGCTGGGGCCATGAGGGAAGCCCATATCAAAACCATACTAAGGAAGCTTCTGTGTATTCATAATCCATCAAGAGAATGTTTTGTTTGGCTGATCTTTCCCCCTATTTTTTGGTCACATCAAATGGCATTTGGGATCTTAGTTTCCCAGTCAAGGATCCAACGTGTGCTCCCTGCAGTGGAAGCATTTAGCCATGGGAATGCCAGGGAAGTCCCTCATTTTGTTGATTTTTAAAATGAGTGGTGCATTTTGTTTCCTCTTGCATTCATTGAGATAATATTTCTCTTTATAAATGTGGCATGTTACATGGAAAGATTTCTCCAGTGTATATCATTCTTCCATTTTGGCCATCAATTTTACTTTGCCACAATGAGTGTATTGTAACTGGTGAAAGTGAAATTCTACAATTTATATTAGTTTAACCATGTTCATGAGAGACTGGACTATATTATTTTCCCTTCACATATCCCATTTAACTTCAGAGTCACAGTTGAGTTTCCCTCTCCTTTTAAAAAAATCTTCTACTACAGTATTTATAAAGACTGTTTCTTGAATGTTTGACAGACCATATCATAAGCCATCCAGATCTGGTGGATTACTTGGGAGATTTTAAAAAACAGATTCAGTGTTATTTTACATACAACGATCCACATTTTAAAAAATATCTAAAACTTCAAATTTACCTGCAGATTCACAATAGCTTTGTCATGAAAAGAAAAGAACCAAACACCTTAACTGTGCGTGTGCGCTCAGTCACTGTAGCCGCGTCTGACTCTGACTACAGGCTGCAGCACACCAAGCTACTCAGCAGGGGTTCTGCAGGCAAGAACACTGGAGTGGGCTGCCATGCCCACCTCCAGGTCTTCCCAACCCAGGGACCGAACCCGCATCTCCCGCGTCTCCTACTTTGCAGGCAAATTCTCCAACAGCTGAGCCACCAGGGAAGCCCTTATCTGTATAACAACCTTAACTATATCCTTATTCATATCTTTTTATGATATCAACTTGATTTTTCAATTCAAAATTTGCCAGTATAAACTGTCACCACTGTTTTTAGTCTACAAGTTGTGTCCAACTCTTGTGGCCCCATGGACAGCAGCCTGCCAGCCTTCTTTGTCCACGGGATTTGGTTAGCTTCAAACCTTTTCCCCACGTTACGTGGCCCGTCAGATCTTTAAGAAACTTTCCTAAGTGCTGTTGAGTTTCTCCTGACCAACATACAATGCTTTGTTAATTTATATACTAAATGTCAGAAGTTTTAATTGGTGAAATCAGCGGCCTGTTAACTAAAGTGAGGAACTTAAAAAATTGGTCTCTGATGGTTAAAGGTTTCCAAGATTACATGGATTGGCCAAGAGTGGAGTTGCACATCCACCCTGCAAGAACAGGCCAAAGAATCCAGCTTAGTCTGAACCCTCAGCCTTTGGGAAGATGTCATAATACAGGCCCCTGGAAGGTCCTCTGTCCAGCCATGAACAACGTTTTGTTAAGGGTAACAGAATTCTGCTTCTTGAAGAGGATTTTTAGGCAAGGCAGTAGTTAGGGCATCTTAAAGGCAGAGAACAACTTCCTTAAGCCTGCAGAAGAGGCAGTAAGAACTGTTTTAATTAAGCTGTATTGGTGACATAAATTGCTAAGAAACTGTCTTCCTTATGACCTGGCTGTTAGGGGCTGATGGGAGGGCAGGAGAGGGTATGTGTGGGGAGTGAGTGGGCTTTCAGTGGGTGCTATTATCTACCAAGGGTGGTACATGAATACACAAGTTCAGGGCTGTTCACAACTGCCACACCCATTTTTAAATTTTTTCCTGCTTAAAACCCCTAAAATACATATGTGCACTGGATCTTCCTTGTGTGAATAATTTTTCCCCATCTCTTTTACACTTACTCTATCTTATTCCTGCCATTTCAAAGACTATCAAGTGTGTCTGATCCGTACAACAGTAAATTTCTTTCCAGTGGCATAGGAAGAGTGGCCCCCAAGGGGGCAGACATTTGTTTTCTTCGGTGCTTGGCCACCAGCACCCCACTGCACCCACACATTAAGGAGGCGCTCACAGTAATTCCTGAGCTGAGCTTTAGCTCTTCTCACGGGACCATTCCTTTCCCCCCACCCTGTCTCAGGTTCAGAGGCCGCTGTGCGGAGCTCTGCACCCCGCTCCCCGAGGCTGCAGCGCCAGCGGGGGGCTCGGGCCCCTCCCCGGAACTGTCAGGCTCTGTCTCGCTGTAAAAGTCCCACAGTTCAAGGGCGAGGCTCTCAGCCAAGACGACGACCCCGAAGGCCAGTGTCTCTTCCGGTTCCTCCCTGTGCTGCTCTGCTCTCTCACTTCCGGCAGCTGGGACTTCCTTTCCTTCCTTTTGCTGTTGGCTGCGTACAGGTTATGTTTTATTTGACATCTGAGTTTGGAGTTATGGGATGGTTATCTTAGTTCAGTCGGCCCTTCCATGGAGATTCCTGGAAACAAACTACGTAAGAGGGTAGAACCGTAAACCAGCATCTTAAGCCAGAGTTAGGCAGTTTTCTATTACACTGCAGTACAATTCACTCACTCACTGATGCACTTTGAAAAGCAGAACAAATGAAGAAAACAAAAACTGAAGAGTTGGGAGAAAATGTTTATTTAGTAAAACGGTATGAGGTTCAAAACCAGTAAAACAGGGAACGGAGAACTTACCAGTGGGGGATTTTGAGGGGTTCCTTTAAAACGACAGCAACTGGGAAGGGACTTGGACGAAAATTTCATAGGTGACAAAGGTTCAGATACCATATGCACTATGCTGAAAGGCATCTAATAGTTTTATTTGTACCAATAGTACTAAGAATAACTTTCCCTACACTGCCATCTTTTCTAAGGAACATGCAATCAATGAAGACCTAGTTGGCTTTAACGCTTTGTGTGTGTCTCAAGTTACCAAACTTAACTGTAAGAGTTACAGGATGAAGCAGAGACCCATATGTTTGTGTTGAGAAAATATTAACCTTTAATCGTACAACTTAATTCTGAGGTATGCCTTTGCTGTTCATTCTTCCCTACAACACTGGCACGATGGAAGTATAATCACTTGGTCACCACTTACATCTTAGTTCTGTTTTTCAACATGGAACCGAGGGTGCAATTAATTTGAATACCTTTAACAATAAAAAATTGTGTATTCGGTAAAATAAATAGGCTCCCCCCCGCCCCCAAATTTCAAGGGTATGGTATGAGTTGAACTAACTCCACTCAGGAAGTAACTGTGTTCTAGCAAGCAGGTCCAGTGCTGGCACTACATGAATATCACCTCCTCCTAAGTTATAAGAACTTAGAGAAGGCTTTCGAGACCAGAGCACCACCAGCCCTTCACAGCCTGGAGTCTGTATTTCTACCGTTACAAGTCCCAGGAAGCATGCCCACTTTGTAGAGTCAGACAGATACGATAATTCGATCACTGTCATATGGCGAGAAAGTAGCAGATGCTGTAACGTGAACCCAGGGCCTTGATTCCAGGAGCAACTCTTTTGTGCTGCCATTGTGATGTCTTTATTCTCCATCAGGCAGTCATTCTCTTACTTTAGTTTTTTAAATAAGGAAAACACTGTGAAGAAGCAAAGTAAAAAAATGATTGAATTCTTGGGAGTACAGTGGCAATTAAATAACTTAAAAAAAGAAAGAAAGAAAGAAAGGTGTTGGGAGAATACGCCCAACATTTTTTTTTTTTTTTAATTTTGCTGTGCTGGGTCTTAGCAGCAGCATGTGAGAACTTTAGTCATGGCACGGGAACTCTTAATTCCCTGAGCAGGGATCGAACCCAAGCCCCCTGCACTGGAAGCATGGAGTCTTAACCCTTGGACCGCCAGAGAAGGCCCCATGCCCAGGATTTTTGAGAATATTTCTACTGGACACCTTTGCTCCAACATTATCTTCTTCTGAGAGAGGAGGGGACCTTATTTAAAAACAGGAATAAACTTTTCTTCCTCCAACAAAATTTATCATGCCAGACACTGAATTTATGAAGACAAATAAGCTTGTTTCTGTCCTCAAGGAGCTCATAATCTAAGTGGAGCACTACACATGTAGATAAACTGGTGATAATTTTAGTACCAGTGCTAAATAGCACTGCTAGCACCCATAACATGGTGCTAAACGAGAAGACAACAGAAGACATATTCATGGCACAATGAGAAGAACTCTCCCTCCCTTTTACCTGGGACGTCCAAGATTCAGGTAATATTGAGACATTTGAACAGAGTTTTGAAGAGCAAGTTATTTCCTGAGGGCTTAGTATGGGCCAGATACTGTGTTAAGGGACTATCTGGATTATCTAATTAAATTATTGCTACAATTTTGGAGACAGGTAACCTTGTTTTACAGATGAATTCAGGTGGTTTAATCTAGGATTCAGTCTGCTAAATATTAACACTGTGAGCTACTGACATACACGAATGCACAGTAAAACAGATCACTGGATGGAGTCAGAGGGATAAAGGGGTGTATACATCCAAATGTTCTCATTTACACAAAAGGCTATGAAGTCAGGATGCTGCAGGAATTAGCCAAAGGTCACATAACACAGACAGAGATAATCCTTTATCCTCTCAGGGGCTCGTCCCACGGTATGATCATGTTTTCCTGGAAATGTTACTTTCTTCCTGCCTTTCCCTTTAGCTCCTTCCCTTTAGACACTCCATCACCAAAGGCCACCTCAAACCACGTGCCAACTTACCGAAGGGCGAAGCTGTTGAAGGACACACGGTTGGATGAGGCTGGCCTACATCTAAAAGAAGATATTTACTGTAAATACCAGTGTTTCATAAGCAATGATCTGTAAAGTTAAGAAACAAGCTAAACAGGTTTGCCAACTTTTATGAACACTGCTGCTCACACACTCAACCTGTTACACACAGGAATAATTACAAGACTATCTGGATTACAATCCCAGATAGCCACAAAACTTGAGAAGAGACTTGCACTCTGTCTACCCAGAGCTCTGCCTCCAGCCCTTATAGCTACAAATCCCTGTATGGCATGGCAACAGCAGGTTTTCTAGGCACTTGAGTTAGTGTTCCTAACGTGAGCCCCGGGACTCTTCTACCTGCCCTGTCCGAGATGCCTGCGATCTGTTCAATCAGTTTTTATACACAAGCAAACAGTACGGACTGTTCATTCTGTTTGTTCAGTTTGAAACGAAAACTTTAAATGCTTGTGTGGAAATAAAAAGCTTAAATAACTTCCTTAGGGTCATAATAAAACTCTGTCATTCTTATTATGTATGCAGTTTTAAAAATATACTTTAAAGGTTCAAGGAGGATGACTATTGAGACTGACTGTGATTCAAATGCAATGACTTTGCTCATGCCAGTGTGCAGTTCTCACCTCCTGTTCTGGTTTAGGTTTAACATACAGATGGAGAGAGAGTGGTTATGCAACATTTCTGGTACCACTGCATTTACTTCCCACATTAAAGGGAAGATCCAGTTATAAATCCTATTGATTTGAGAACTATAACAATAAAAAAACTGACAAGAGCCAGAGTATCAGCAAGCTTATTAATAAGAGAAGGGCAAAAGTGAAACTTTATCTGGAGGCACTGGTTCCGAAAGGTATGAAAATTAGAATCATACACTTAATCACACACTTTACGTGCTCCATTCTAGGCTGACTGTATACCTGAGGGTCAATCTCCCATGTACTTAGTTTTCCAATCTCTACAAATAGCTCAGACCCACAGCCTCACCTCTGAACCACTTACGTACGGTACCCAGGGTGCTTGCTCTGAGCTCAGGAATCTTCACCACTTTAACTGTTTGTGATTATAAGCAACTTAACTTTTCTGAGTCCCAGTTTCCTCAACTGTAAAGTACACTAATAACACTTATCTTAAAGGGCTGCTGCAAGGGTTAGATGAGAACATTATGAAAGTATCTAATAAAGTACTTGTATCATAAAAGGTGTTCCATATACATTATTACTGTCTGATGAATACTCAGACAGTAATAATGAAAGCTGTATTAAAATGAGGGACATATTGAGGGGAACACCCGAGGTCTGAGGATTGCTGATGCAAAGATAAAGAACTGACAGAACAGACGTTCCTTTTTATAAGAGTTTAAACAAAACTGATCAGAATAAATGTCTTAGAAGAAATCTTTACGTAACTATAAATAAAATTTGAAATGATTACAAAATACTCTGTGCATTCCTCAAGATTTGGTTCTCTCTATCTCAACATATAAAATACTGGGTCATGTAATCAATGACTATTTCTTAGCTTTGATGAAATACAGTTTCAAAAGATTAAAGGATAATGTATTCAGCATAATGCATTTATAATACTGAGGGTAGAACGGGCCTTCCTAAGACAACAAAACCCAGAAGTTACCAAAGATTACATAATGGTTTAAAACAAAGTTTTAAAAAACACATGACAGATTAGGAGGAAGTACTTGCAACACATATAGTAACCCAATCCAAAATATATAGCATTCCTAGAAAACAATGAGAACAAATTAACAAATCAAAAGAAATATGGGCTAAGGGGATGAACAATCAAACAAATAAAAATGAAAGAAAGAAAACCAACAGAAATGTGAAAGATATTAACTTTGCTCTTAAGACAAGGGAATGAAAATAGAGAGATACTTTTTTGCAGCCATCAGATCAGCAAAAAGTGAACGGTAATGCCCTGCGGGCAGGCCTGTGAGGGAACAGGCACTCTCCTATACTGCCAGCCAAAGGGTAACCTGGCACAGACTCCTGGGAGAATAACTCTGCAGTGCCCGTAAGTATTTCAAATAGATGTGTTCCTTGACACAGCAATTATACCTTTACAAAATGGTCTTGCAGAAATAATCACAAAAAAAATGCATCAAAATACTCTATATTTTGCAGGACAGCCTACAACAACAGTGAAACACTGGAGCAACCTTTACATCCACCAATAGGGAATCTAGTATATTTATATATGGAACTAAAAAAAAAATACGTGAGACACAGATATGGAAAGTTTTCCAAACCATGGAAAAAAGTACAAGATATGGTATGATTTCATGGTATAACAAATCCCACATATATCACCAACATATTTGTGTGTAAAAACACAAGAGCTTGGAAGGATCACCATTATTAATACTGCAGAGTGTAAGAAAAAGAAGGGCAGTGGTATGTGACTGCGAAGAGAATATTTTTATACACTCTTCACGTTTAGTCTAAATAATACAGAATGACCACATATTTAGAAAGTTATCTCAGAATGCAGGATTTTCCCAGTACCTATTTCCCAAACCCTGTTTCTCATTCAAAGTCATACCTTTACTTGAAATAACCCAGTATTCTGATTAATATGGTATCTTTTTGTGCTATGTTACTACAAAATTTTAAACAATGATTTTTACATATAAATAGGATAACTAAAACAATAATTTTCAGAGATACCTATAGAATAAGGAAAATTTATGTCAATATTAAGACAACTATATACCTTTAGCAACCTTTATACTTCTTCAGTCAAAGAAATCTTACAAAACCCTTATTTTTCCAGGGAATTTGAACTCCTACAAAAGTTGCATGAAGAACAAGTAGCAAAGAAATTTTTTCAAACTACTTTTAAAAAACAAACAAATAGCCCCAATCCTGTATTTAAGTCGCTTCAGACAGCAGGACAAACACTGACCATATAGCTTAACAATTCTAAAGAATCACTTTGAAATAAGCAAGGAAAAGTTTGGAACTTTTAAAAGCCAGTTATAATTGCTTCTGGTTAATCCCAAGAAAGAAAGCTAAGTAGATGAATAGGTTCTACTGCTAAGATTTTAACTGATGGAACAGTTTTACTCAGCCTCACAGGAATAATATGCATAAAATTATACAAACATCCTCAGGACAGGTTCTCTTCCATAAAGTTAAAGGAAGTTAGCGCTAATATTAATAAATAATCCTACTTTATATAGATATAAAAATCCTAAAAGTGAAACTGCTATTGGTGTCATAATGCACTGCTAACTTAAAAGTTAAAAACAAAACAAACAAAATCCCACCTTTCATTGAAAGCCAGAAAAAGCCACAATGTGATACTATCATATCTTTAGTTTAAAAACAATCCTCAATATCAAGCCATTAACAATGAAGAGAGATCATTTAATTGCTTATTATAACTGTACATAATACTTTCCACTGAATAACACTTTATCTTTATCGAAAGGTAGAACTGCTTTTTTAAAAAAGCTGAAACAAATAGAACTAAAAGGCAAACTCAGGTGTATCAGATTCCCTATTGTGACAGTTTTCAACTACTGAAGTCTATAGGAGACATCTGTTTGGAAGCATGAAATCCTACTATTGGGAACTGATGAGATGAGAAAGATGTAATGAAACAGGAAGAAGCTAAATAATTTAAGCCAAATGCATAGCAAATAACCACAAGGCGAGATATCAAATCTTCAAACTTGATAGAAAATAGCTGGAGTTTAATTTCAGAACATATCAAATATTATTAAAAAAATCTAACTATATTATGTTTTCTATCAATTAAATGAAAAATGACAACTGGAAAATAATGCGGGAAAATGGGAACATTTTAACATTTACCCAGATTCTGTAACATTTAAAACTTATAAGTACATGTTCATCAGAAAAAATTCTAACAAATGTACAATTTTTAAAGAAATCAAGGCATGTATTATCTAAAAGGTGGGAGACAGCTCAGTGTAACAGAAGGCTTTATAGTATTAACTAAAACAAGATAAAGTGAAAAAAATTTTTTTGACTCAACTACAACTCAACTCTCATGTACAGCTTTTTTTCTAAGTGCTGAAGTGAGACAAAGCTGATAGCCCAAATGATACTACTATATAATCAGGAAAGTATGTAATATAAAGATATAAACACAAGACTATTAAACAAATGAAAAAAGCAATAAATTAAAAAACTATAAATTAGGTATTTAACCTACAAGGCATTTGGAAGCCTAAGCCACATGATATACTAAATGCTTTTTCACATTGGAGAATATGAAAGAAAAATTTTATATTTTATTCACTGAGGTTCAAAGGTAAATTGATGGGGAACCTTCAAATATGCTTAATTTGACATGAAAAAACACATTTCATAAAACTACCCTTAGGTTATATGATGCTTCCATAATGCACTGTGATATTTCTCTTGAAATATTATAAATTATTAAATAACTTAAGCATTTGACAAGTTTCAAATGAAAATGTGAAACTCACTGAAATATGTTTTACATCAAAGTACATAACAGAATAACTCCCACTTAATGAAAAAAAACAAAAAACCTTTCGTTTACTGAACAAATAGAATTTAATTAGAAAGACAGCACTCACTTGTTCAAGAACAAGTCTCCCTGCCTGGACTGCACATTTTTATTTAACTGTGCCTTTTTCATAAACACAGACATCTTCCTGAGTACCGGCATCAAATGTGAACTCTAATTCTGAATGTAGGCACAGGTGCGTTTATGCATACTTGCCAAACTGCTAAAACAGCATGTTCCTCTTCAGCACTTCTGACTGTGTGGCTGTCGTTTGCTTTGTTTTCACCTGTATGGAATGTGGATGTGTCATCAGAAAATGAAAAGCAGAGGTGGTTTCACGGGGCTGAAAAACAAAGTTATAGAAAGTTAATTTTAAGTAGAGTGTTTTCAATAAGAGCATGAAATATGAGGGTTTCATTTAAATCAAACAAGATATATCTAGGACTAATTATCAGGTGTTAGCTTATCTTTAAATTATCTATAAATGTTTGGCACAACTATGCTCTGAAAAAAAAGTAAGACAAACATGTTTTTGAAATAATAATAATAATAGCTACCATTTATCAGGAGCTTTAGTGTGTACCAGGAATTATTTTAACACTTGACTGCTATTAACTTATTTATTACGTTAACCCATTTAGTCTCATAACAATTCTATTAGGGAGGTACTGTTATAATCCCAATTTAGCAGATTGAGGAAATGGAGAAATAGTTTTCTCAAAGTAACACACGTAGTATGTGGGAGTACCAGGATATGAGTTCAAGAAGCTGGGCTTCAAAACCCTACCACTAAATCACAGTGATTTCAAACTATTTCCATTAAATCGGAAAGCTGGTATCATCTTTATTGTTAAAATAAAAATGAGTTTGATCTACTTTAAACAGAACAGCAATTATTCACTGAATGCCTAAAATAGGCTATGTACTATTATTAGGCATTATAGCTGGCAGAACAACAGCTAGCATGTTAGCATTTATCAGGACTTAATGTGACAGGCACTGACTAATGAACCACTCTGCACTCCTCACAGAGGTCAGTCCTTTCAACGATCCTGTGAAGTGGATACCATACCTATTTTGCGGATGAGAAAAGCACCGAGGTGTGAAGCAGTGCCTTTCCTTCCTCCAAATCACACGGCAAGCAGCCCAGGCGGCTCCAGGGGTCTGATGTCAGAGCCCCTGCCTGCTGGAGCACACTGTGGGCTCCACTTGGCCGGCTGCCGCCACCCGAGGGAGGACGCCCCTTTGCGCAATCCCCGAGTCTCACGTCATGTTAGAGACACAACAGCACAACTGCAAGGATATGACAGTAGTGAAAGTTTACAGTAATCACATTAAAAGAAAAAAAAAATCAAGCCTCTGTGCATTATTTTGCCAAATCCTCTATCCGTGTTAATGGTTGACAGTCCAAGTCAGCTGAAGTAAACATCCATCTCCCAGCCGACTCATGTGTTACAGCTGAGTGTAGGATGTTTACATGAACTGAAAACTTGGTTTAAAGCAGGACTTACACAATCCTTTACTGGTCCTCTCCTTGAGACTCAAATTTAAATTAAGGTATATATAATGAATAATTCATATGATTTTTTTTTAAAAAAGATAACTTTGTAGAACCTGTTGAAAAAAGAACAGGAGGTACAAAGACTGACATGAATGAGGCAAAAGTCCAATATCAGAGGTATTTCTGAGACAAGGTTTAGAATCCAGGGGAAAAGGCACAAGTGATGTTCTTCTCGTAACTGGTGGCGATATAAGCAGACATCTCATGAATGTTCCAGACGTAAATGTGGCTGGGTTTACAGCCTTCCCTTCCAAACAAGCCAACCTGCATTTACAGCAAGCTGCCTGATGGCCAGGATGGCGCATCACGCACCCATTTTTCCTCAGGAAGGAGATTCCTGTTTTGAGTCGAAGACAAAGTTAGCAGAACACCTGTGAGGAGCTCAGGTCTCCACAGCAGCCTCCCTGCCCCCAGCCTCTCTCCATCTCCTCCCCACACTCCTGACTCAGGATGTTCACCTCACTAACATGTCTCCCACCCTCTGACCCGCCTCCTACTCCTCCTGCCCAAGTGTTGCTAAGTCGCCTCCCAGGAATCCGCCGTCTCTTTGGATTTCTCTGATTAAGAAAATATTGCCACTGATACCTCTAGGAAGCACTTTAAGCAGCCCAACCAATACACTTGCCTCGAAGAAGAGAAGAATCAAACTTGGAAGTAACATTAAATAACAGAACTATTGCCTGCAAACTCTAAAATCATCTCTGGAATCTCGCAGGCCTTCTGGGACCTCTGGGAACCTCCTGTCTTTTCAGGCCACTTTTCCTGATTCAAGATTAAATCAGGAGTTCTGATTAAATTCTCAAGTTCTCAAAATTAAACACACCTTTTTTCTCTCTACAAATACACAGGTTTTTTTTGCTTCAAGTATTCTACTGCAACCCTTTTTTTTTCCCTTCTGCTTTTCTTTGCAAATATATTCAAACAGGTTTTGTGGGCTAGACAATGAATATGATGCTTTCTCTGGGAGAAAAGTGGGTCTCAGGTTTCCAACAAATCTTTTTCAAAACAAATTTTTGGATTACCACATGTTTTTAAGTTAGGGATTGTATGTGTATTTCTCTTCAGTTGCTAATTGGGCCTGGATACTGAACAGGGAGGTGTTACCAGGTGGCTCAGTGGTAAAGAACCACCTGTCAATGCAGGAGACACAAGAGATATGAGTTCGATCCCTGGGTCGGGAAGATCCCTTGGTGAAGGAAAGGGTAATCCACTCCAGTCTTCTTGCCTGGGAAATGCCATGGACAGAGAGGAGCCTGGTGGGGTCACAAAGAGTTAGACATGACTGAACAACCACCACCACTGACCAGGGAGACGAGTGGAAGATGAGCTCCATGGTCCTGAAAGCCTAGACTTAGGAAGGCAGCACCAGCAGCACCTGGGCATTTATGAGAAGCAAGCATCACCACAGACCTACTGAAACAAAGTCTCGCAAGGCCCAGCAATCTGTATTTTAATTAACAATCTCTCCCAAGTAATTGATACCTGCTATTATTTGAAAACCAACGCATTAAACGGTTTTACCAAACAGGCTGGAGAGCCAGAGCAAAGACAGCAGTGAACATCAAACTGTTAGGAAGTGTGTAACATGCAACAGAATGAAAACCAAAACCAAAACCAAAACCAAAAACCCACCCAACATCAAAACACCCACCACTGTCCACCTATGAGGAAGCAGGCTGGGGAAACTGGCGGAGATAACCTGAAACAGCATCATTTTGAAAATGATTAAGTCTGGACTCAAACTTGAAACTTTTTTTCCCCCTGACTATGTACCACTAATAGAGGTACATTCACTCAATGAATAAAGATTTATCCAGAGGAATGGAAGGAGCCAGTCAGAGTAAAAGGGACTCCGGCACCAAGACCAATGAGGACCTGTCGAAGTGTGCTTTTAACAGAGAATATCTGCACACAAATGTGTCTAATTGGAAACGACCTTGCAGACACAATTTTGTAGTTTTGCTTTTAAAAAGTAACTCCTTAGAAATCTCAAAGCAAATGCTAAGGAAAAAAAGCCTGTCATTTTCAGAATACTACTCAGCAACTAAAAATGTTTTACTTTCAATCAAAATATCTTCTGAGGAAAGAATTTCTGAGCTTTCTAGGACCTGTCAATAAAGACCACACACTTCTTCCTCAATACTAAGTTAAAATGTAGGGAGACAAGCTGTTATAGGTTTATAAGCAAACATTAATGCTCAAACATTTTAAAGCATTTGTCCTATACAGTCAATTGCTACATTGGAAGGTCATTTGGGAAGTCTGTGATTCTTCCAAATTAAAACATAAAGAAGTCATCTGCAGATGACTATCAGGTGGTATTCCAGTACACTGAGGCAAGGGCATCCAGAATTAAAGCTGACATGGCCTCTGATTCACCTCATCAGGGCAGAATAACATGGAACAAACGTTACATAACACAGATTGTACATTAATCCTGCAGCCAGGAGTGAGGGGCTGGGTTGGGCAGAGCGTGACAGCTTTGTGCAGGACACGCATCCTTTGAGCACAGATCTGGGCTATCATTTTAACAAGTCTCTCAAATCCAGCCAGCCAAATTATTAAATTGGGCAGTTTCCATCCATCTTACTGAATCTCAAGGCTGTAACACAACTTTTCATAGGAAACACTGTCACCTTGTCTAACAGAACCCTGTTAGCAGAGGACTTGTTCTACCCTTCAAAGGGACATGCCTCGGGCTCTCAGAGCCCAAACGGCCCCATCCGTTTGCTGCTATCTGGACTCTGAGGCCTACATCGGAGGGTCAAGGAGTACACAAGAAACCCGCTTTATTAAGAGTTCAGCAGGAAGGGACACTTGCTGCATGTGCATCATCAAGCTTGAAAATCATACTTCAAGTTGCAGAGCCACCTGTGTCTGAAGCACTCACCACCCTGCCTCCCCCCTCCACACTGGCCACGTCAGTCTTGTAAACTAGCACTCCGGCGAACGAGTGTCTAAGAAGTAGGGCTGCTGCAGGAATACATCTGGGCAGCTACACGAGACCCAAACTGTCACCTGCTCCTCTGCAGAAAGGAAAAAGGAGACAGTACCCTCTGCAGCAAAACAAAATCGGTGGTGGAGCCCTGTGCGTGCAAGGTGTCCTCCTTGCTGCTGATGGCCAGGAAAACAGAAAATTTTAAGGGTATGATGCCCTCCCCCTCAGAAAGCTTATGATCCAATCAAGGAAGATGCGCATGTAGAAGTTACCAAGGGCTTTACCTTTTGGTTTAATTACGCACTGAGCCCCACACAGTAACATGTCCAGCAGTTTAAGAGGCAAATTTTCAAAACTCGGAGAAAGAGCTGTTGTAAAATTATACATTATCCGTAATCTGCACTGAATGTCGGCTGTGAGAAAAGCCCTGTATTCTTCAGCTCTGTGGGGAAACCCGAAAAATAGATCCAGCGCATCTGCTCACAAGGCATCAACGTGCAAATGAGGAAGAGAAGAGGCGAGTGATGACCTGAGAACACGCAGGGAAACACACGCAATAAACTGAGACAAGTATAACCAACAGTGAATGCTGTCAAAAGGCTCAGTAGTTTGAGGTCCTGCAAAAGTTTTTAGAGGACAGTTCTGACTAGGAGCTGTGACGTCACTCAGGGTGGAGAACAGGAAGCTGGGGTGGGGGGTGGTTGAGAGGCGAGAGACAAAGTTTATACACACATTTCTTCACTACAGAGAAAACTGAAAATTTCTAGGTTATATACTGCTGGGCGGTAGGGTGGGGCGGTGGTGATAAATTTACTCTCAAGAAAGTCTACAGAATTTCTAAAGGAGGAAATCAGTCTTCTGAATTGCTGGGAAGTCAAACTCTACCCTACTTGGAAAGGCAATAAAGAATGTGAGTTCACTGACAGGGTAAAAACAGAAATAAGAACCCATAGTGGAAAAAAAAAAATTTTTTTTTTTTAACAGAATTCTCTAAGGCCCAGCAGCAGCAGCATCTTAAAGTCTAGAAGCTCGGCTGGCATCCGCTCCAGGATATCCTGTTTTAAGGAGAGTATCCCACACTACTTGGCATGAAACACGCATTCGCACAGAGTGCAGTGAAGGCAGAACCCCAAAGATTCCTGGTGTTCATCCACACACTTTATAGGCACCCCCCCCACCCATTCTACCTGTTAGATGTAATTACACTGAAATGACGCCTGTGAATAGCCGGTAGCAGCAAACATCTGACTGAAAGCTTAGCTGTGTGGTACAGCTTCCAGTCGGGGATGTTTACAACAACAGACTTTCTGCACAAGTGAACGGAAGGCATCGACACAAGTATTGCTGGTCACCATCTCTAAACGCTTGTTAGGCCTTTTAGTCCTGACGCTCTCTGTGACATCTCGGGACAAGAAAATGATATGGTTAATGAGATTCATTAGCAAGAGATAAGTACTTTATCAACAGCAATTTTTCCTAAATAAAATTAATTACAAAAGACAATATGCATTGTAAAGTTATCTTGGCAAATTAGTAACATTAAAGATATGACCCAGTTATTCTACATGAAGATACACTTTCTATTTGATATGTGCAAAAATGAAGTTTTCTCTCCCAGAACCCAGAGTTTCAGAATTAATAATAAACACACCAGAATGACAATCTGAATAATCAGACAGACCATACATTTGCCTGAAATAGTCCGAAAGTATGCCTGCTGTTCTGATGCTATCGTTAAAACTGACTCTTTACTAACAAAAGCATCCTAATCTAGATCGCTAATACAGTGGGCTT